TGTAGCGGAAAGAATTTTTTTTTATTGAAGCTCTCATTACTGCCAAGTGATTCCAGTAGTCTTTGATCTTTGAATCTTATTCCCCATGATTCTTTCTTCATTTCTGTTTATACACGTCTCCGTCGTAACTCTAATTTAATTCATACCTTTACTCTCGGCTAATCATATTAACCTCGCTCAAAAACAATCGCAATCTGCTAATCTGATAATATAATAACATGATAACATGTTCTAAGCCTTTTATTAGGTTTGGTATGTACTTTTTGTGGTTATTTATACATTTCTAAACAGGCTTCTGCTTCGCCTTTCGAGGCTCCTCAGTAGTATGGTGCTTTTCGGTTCAGCCAATCCCTTACAAGGGATATAGCTACTTATAGAGGAATCGACACCGGAATTTTAGAATCACAGTGTCGAGGGAATTCTGTCACTCAACATACGATGATCTAATAAATCGACGTGGATCCCTTTATTAGTAAAGGTACATCCCCTTGCAAAGGATCTGCTGAACCAAAAGGCACCGTGCTACTAATGAGCCTGCAAGGGCAAAACAGCAATTGTCTACTATCTTATAAGTGCCGTACCAAACCTCATAGAAAGCTTAAAACATGTTATCATGTTATCAGATTATCTAATCCGCTTTTTGTATAATATAAACGGTTATGCGCTAGGTGTTAGAAAATGAGAACGCATATTTGGCCTATACAGTATGATTTCTGTAGGCTTACCGAGTATGCCTAGTCGGGTTGCTATACTCCTTAACGAGTCTAGTGTTGATTCACATGCTCATAAGGACTAGGACTAACTCAATCCGGTATGCGAAATTCGGACCGACGACCACGTATATATCACAGGAAACCTTTAATTGCTGAGCTACATGCATCACACAGCGTTGATTTTCATTCTAATGTGTTGCTGAGTCGGAATGATTTTTACAACATTTCACAACAAATCACTATGATTTATTTGTCACAAACAATCTGCGCGAGTATAGGGAACTGTAGACATTTGAAAATATGTCAAACCTCCCACTGGCCCGAGTCATACTGGTAAGTTTTGGTAGTTTAAATGGTTGGTTGGTAGACGAAGGCTTCGACTTAGCAACGCACAACATGCTAACCTAACTGACGGCCACAACACATGAGTGCTGCACATGACAAATCCATGTTCATCTTATAAAGAAACGACTTAATAAATGGAAATTCTATAAAGCAGCATGCCTCGTTTAGATCCGTAGATGGACAAAGCTTCATCAAATCTCCCTCATTTCTGAATATTGTAGTGATTCTTTCGCTTGCCTTTCTTTGCTTTTCGATCCGCATAACATCTAACATACAGCTAATTCTCTTCATTTAAATATGCACAAGTGAGCACAATCAACTAAAATCTTGGTTGTTCAGGTTCTGGTTCAGAGTGCAACTTTACAGCATTAGTTTTTACTAGAAAACGAAGTTGAAACGGAGCTTCAAATCATTTTTAAACTAAATCAGGCGATGACTTTTTTATGAAGTTGCTCTTGATTGTAATACAGCGACGGAAATTTGACTTGCTGCCATCAACTTCGGGCGATCGGTGCACTTATCATATATTCGCTGCCGCCACAAAAATCGCTGCTGTTCTAGAAGCCGAGTGGCAATGCAGATCTGAAATGACAAGCAAGGACTCTTGCGTGGATATATTAAGATTCTAAGTAAACTTACGCGTGATCGATTTCCAGTGTATCATATAAGAGAATGAGTGACAGATTTCTAAGCTGTATATTTGGGACGGCAATGTTAATCCGACTAGCACCTACATGATATAAAACCCTCAGCAGAGTCCGCCATTGAAATATGTCTTCTAGTCTAAATGAGCACTCAAATTGATTAAACAGCTAGAAATCAGAGTACTTGCATGGTTTAGTAATGGAAGGAGACCTGAAACCACCAAAATAGGTCACTTGCTCCTTCTAAATTGAAAAATTCAAATGCTCGACTAGTCGACGTGTATGAGATGACTCCTTGAGCATCTGGAAACTCTTGTTTAAGACACGTTTACGCTGGTGGTAGGATAACTAAACCACTCTAAAAATAAGCCTGAAAGCTTAGTGAAAAATTTCTGTCCAGAAAGAAACGCCAATGCTTTATCATACCGGAAGTTAGCGAATTTTCTTCCGCGTGCTCTCCTAATTCGTATAATTGCAATAGCTTCAACTGCGGAGATTCTGAATGATGATAACACGTGTCACTGTCATGGTATCGTATTCGTAACCCTCTAATTCGTTCAGTTTACAAAAGCTTCACGTGAGGACATTTAGATTCAATTTTTGTCCCTACAAGAAGGACTTGTTGCAGTTTTCATTTCATCATCTCTTCTTAAGAGTGATGTTTCAGATACTAACAAGCTCGCATGTTTAAGAATTATTGAGGAAACAATGCAGTTCAATTCTGAGAGGAAATATTATTCTTCTCGCGTTTTTTGCTATTCCTACTGCTGCTGTCAGTCTGACAAGTGAGCCGTAAAACTCGGTCACGGCATGGCATATCTGAATCTGCTTGCACTGAATAGTGGTGATTTGTCCTACTCTCTTCGAATGATCCTTCTCATTAAAAGCAGATGTTTTTTTTCTCACTATTGTAGTTCTGAGAACAGGTTTGTGGTATAACATCTGAAAAATGTTCTTAACCTTAAAGATCGAACATTTTCTTTTTCCAACAGAACATGTGCTCAGATATTAATTATTGCGGCAATTACACCCTTCATTTATTCGATCCTAGCGTAATTAGTCTTACGGTGTTTGATCGTACGAATTTGTTTAAGTGCTATTTTGCATTCAATTCAATCATTTTTTCAAGTAGAAATAAGACGATAAAATACACTGTGGATCTAATATGAGGATTCTCTTTATCTCACTTCACGGAGAATCTACTGTGAACAATTATAAAATTTCGAGAGCACCGATGATATTTGCTCACCACCAGGATCCTTGTGCAACGTGTCTTCACGAATCGTATGTCATCTGGAACATTTTTCAATGAGTTATATTTAGTTCTCTAGTTGACGGCTTGTTCCTTTCCGAGTTCTTGAAGTGGTTCTATTCGTTCCTCAGGTAACCATCACATACTTTTGCCAATTCTATGGAGACTAACTTTAGTGAATGGACGGAAGAGAAAGTAAAAGGTTTCCACAGAGCGCTGGAGCATTATTTCAAATGTTTTTCTAATAGAATTTATTTCTCAAACTTCTGATGCTTTCTGTGAACGATGGTGGAAGGATCAGAACTTGCTGATATGCTAATGTTGTTGAACACAATACCACTCGAAGCTAAGTTGATTTAGGTGCTTGTCGGCGACTGATCAGCTTTGAGCGAACGCTCTCCATCACAACACAAACCATATGTCTAGCATGAGTACAATTTGAGTATTTGCTCAAGGCTTACCCCGTTATGAACAATTTTGTAGAAACAAAACACCATAGCTAGTATTAGGTGTGCACTGTACCGAATCGCTCGTTTATACTATGTAACATTGACTGTTTTCATGAATATTCGACTTCTTCTTGTAATTAAAGTTGAGCTTCATCCTAATTTCCAGAATCTGAATATAGGATGGGCAGCTTTTTTCTCCACACTACACTCCGTTTGTCCTCCAACTATCCGCCAAAATTACGCTCGTAATTCTAGCAGGAAGAGTCCTCACACGCAAAATTAACTTACTTTTGTAATAAAATTGTACAATATGCATTCTTTAAAAGTTAATTTCTGCTTCAATACTAGGTTAACACTACGGATCGCAAGCGAGCTGACTGCACTCCATTAACGAGGCTCCAATTAATTTTTAGTTTTTTTATTATCTCTCTTTCCCCCATTCATTCTCTCTCTCTCTCTTCTTTCTCTCTACTTTTGACTGTTTTCCGGGGTTCTTCACTCTCTTCAATCTTTTCCTTCTTCTCTTTCAAGAAATTAGTGGGTTGAGTTTCTCATTTTACTTGCATGTTTCGAACAACGAGAATAAACTTTTATTTACTATACTGTAATCGATAACGATTGTTGCAAAACCTCTCTTGCATTTTTAGAATGAAATTTGGACATTCTAACAATAGTGAAATAAATCAAAATCTCGTTGTATTCATTTTCTTCTTCCCTTCTCTCTTCTCTTTAAGGCATTCCCTCCCGCTACAATGTCATTTTTCTTGAACAAATCTGAATCTCGATGGTAAATGTAGTGAGATGGAAAGCAAAGAATGGACATCAATCGTCGCCGTTCTTACACTATTGTATTCATTCACATCCATCTTCAGACGTTTCGTTATACGTTCAATCATCTGACGCAATTGCTCAATTTTTTACTTCTCTCATTCGTTGACAAAAAAACTTCTGTTGGCAGAATTCAAATATTTTTGCACCATATTGATCAATGTCAACAATGCATCATATTCTAACAAATCTACCTGTATTAGTCAACAGATCAGAGACCAGATGAAGTACTATGATTTAGTAAAAAGGAAAACGGACACTTCTACTATAGCAATGCAGAATCCAGCAAATTTTTTCATTTGTTTAAAGACATTGCTTCTAGTACTTTGGCCGTTTTCAGAGTAGAATCACCTCCACTATTGACTATTTCTCGTTTTTTGTTGTCACTAGTCCTCAAATAATTTCAGTCGATTGTCGAAAGTCTGTCGGGGAAATAAACCCTACTCGTAGCAGTGTTCCTAGTTTTACACCATAGTATAGGATTCATAGGGAAGAAGTACGAAAGTCTATTGAACCCCTTTTTTCATAAATATATTTGCTTTTTCCGCATTTTCAAGCTTATGCTCTTGTGTAACATGTACATTAAGCCTGCAGCAGAAAACACCTTTTTTTGGGAATCGTGGTGAAAATATGGGCCTAAAACTGTAGCTGTTGACTAACAAAACGATATCAATGTAATCAAAAACGGTATAGAAGATGTACTCAACACAACAATCATGTGAGCCATATGTAATTCAACACTAGTATTGCGTCAACATAGAGAAAACTAGAGACCCGGCAAAATTTTGAACTTTCGTCGCAGGATCCAGAGCTCTGAGTGCTAACCGCTACACCACGGGACCGATACATTTGAGTCTCCGCGTTGAATATAAGTCTGGCTGAAGAAAATCAGTGAATATAAAAGCGTTTGTGTACTCATTTCGTCCCAACAAAGTACTGTTTTCGTTCAATGCCACGGTGCCCTTCTCTTTTGGCAACATTTATGAGCCTGTAAGTAAATCTTGTGTATTCTGCCACAACAGTGAACTAATCTGCTGAACTCAACCGACATTTATGAAGAATCATGGAGCACTATGACTTAAATTTCTACTCTTGTTTCGGAGCAGTTGGACTAGTTTTCCTGAAATATCATGGTGTGAGACAAGACTTATCAAAGTCCTTGGTTTATCAGTAGCTGGCACTTCAACGTCGTTGCCAAGAACAAGCACTCTCTTTGTAGAACGGTTGATACTGATTGTTGGCGATGGAAAGTTGTGGCAAATCTTACTGTGATATTGTTCACATCAGCGACCAAGGCAATGCTGTCGTCGCTTAAAAAATAAATACTTCAGGAGCTGAACGATTTTTTTGAGGCCGTAACATCGTTTTTAGTGGTAGACTTCACTGCTAAGTATCAGGATGAACTCCCATATTTACTAATTCTGCTGGCTCACACTATGAGCAGGTGGAAAATGGCGGCATATATGAATGAATGAATAAATACATTGATCGTTTTTAGCAGTATTTTTACTTTATAGATCATCACTTATCGACAAAAGTAATGAGGAGAAAAAAAAAATGATAGTAGTCTTTTCTTCGTTCTTTTGTTGACTTTTTTTGAATGCACTCAACATGTGTTTCTTCTCAACTAGACATGTGCGGGGCTCTCCGAGAAGCTCTGTGTCATGTCATTAGACGTACAAATATGACTCCGCCGTTTTTTTCCTGCTGCAATGGTAGTAAAAATAAAAACATGCAAATTTTTTCTTTTGTTTCAAAGTACGTTAAAAACGCTATTAATACATATGTTTCTTATAAACAAAATATTCTATATGATAGTTTTTATAAAATGACAACTTTTGTGCACGAAAAACGTCATTTGCAGGAACTTTGCTTTGCAGATTTATTGACCAAAAGTAATCAATATTGCATGATATTAGTATCGCTCGATTGTGCACTTTCTTATGAACATTTTGGTAAGCAACTTGCCTATGTTTGCTTCAAGATGGAGCTGTCGTGGGAACAAATTCTTTTGTTACTCATACACAAGTGGCGCACAGGGGAAAACTTTTGTGAAGCGGTGCATAAGACTAATGAAGCTTGGAGCGAGCTCCATTTTGAAGAACTTGCAATCAAGATGTACTATAATTAATATGTACCAAAATGTTCACAAGAAAATGTTTGATTGAACGATATCGGGTTCATGCAATTTCATTGCCAGAACCGTATTAAAAAATCAAAACTGCACGAACCTTGAATTTTGCTGCATGATATTGCACAACAGATCGAAAACGTCATAAAAGAGCTGAGCTGGAAGTTTTAGATCTTACTTTACCCACCTTACTCTTCCGAGATTGCACCGCTAAATTCGCTTACAAAAGTCATCATTTTCAAAGTCCAATAAAGACCATAATCTAGTATATTTTGTATACAAAAAGCGTATAGATAAATAGGTTCTTAACGTATTTTCAGACAATAAAAAAGGTTTTGCATATCTTCATTTTTACTCTTATTGCAGCAAGATAAAACCGCGGAGTCATATTTGTACACTTTATAGAAATCGTCGTTTTCTATTTTTCTTCGAAATATATATTCACGCTGAAAATCAGCTTTCCTGGTTGTTACTATCTTCACAGCTGCTCTCCTTTTCTTTCCCTAACACATTTATTCTTTAGTTTTACGCAGCTATAAACGAATGAGCACTAATTCAACACATTTGCTTTTCTGCAATCTTCAAATGAGTTGAAGGCTAGTGCAAATTGGTCAAGGTATGCTTCGCGATAAACTCACTGGAAAAGTTGAGTTCTCTTTTCTAATGGGGGTCCTTTATCAGCTTCTGTTTATCTTTGACGTCATAACGCGTCGTGATCGCTGTGTTTGTGTTCACGTCAACTTCTCGACACGCGATTTCGCTATTAATATTACAGTTATCATAATTACTGCATCAAAATACATGTGTTACAAAGTAATCGGAAATGGTAATGTTTTGTCACTACTGTATAGATCCTCCCAGAGCGCGTGTAGCGTGTGGTTTGACATGCGCATTGCAGAATACATTTGGTGTTTGCTTCGATCCCGAGCCGCTCGTTTTACCAATCCCTCCGGCCTTACGTGATCAATAAACTGTTAACAGTGCTGTCTGAGAGAGTAGAGAAATTGATAATACTCATTAAGGGCTTACCAGATAAAGCTAAGTTCGTTCCGTCAACTGGATTCCCAATTTGGAGAAAAGGATTACAGAAATTTCTCAGATTTAAGCCGGGAGTAAACCTTTACAATAGAAGAGTCTGATGAACATCCCATATTTACTATCCTATGAAAAAGAATATTGGGAAAATTGTTCTACTGAGATTAAAATTTTGTTTGTATTCGGTGTGGGAGACTCTACTGCGTGGATGAGTTGAGCCTGCTGGTACAGTTTCAAAGCACTCAGCGACTAACGGAATCACAAGTGGTATAGGCGATATTGCTTCGATAAGAAACTGTAGCACTTGAACACTCTATTATTAGTCTCGATGACAGGAACTGGAACTTTCTTTACTTATAAAAGTGGTTTCAACTTATGAATTTTATTTTCAAATAGCCAGAACATAGCTATAACGAAAGTTATTGCTCGAAATACAATGTGCCATAATTTATGCATCATCGCCTCTCTTTGACAAAATCGATTTTTAGTGCTGCCAAGAAAAAAAAATCATTTTTGATGCTTAAAGTAACAAACAACTGACTTCATAACGAGATCTCATAACTTTTCGTTCAGCTCGTACGCCTTCCGGTTGTCGAGTTTTCCGTGATGCTAATAACTCGCTTTGTTATGCTTTTTTGACCTACCCTTTCACCGCTTCACGCAAGGTTTCTTCATTTAGTTTCTCCAGAATTTCGTCACTTCTACGTATCTAAATCATTTGATGTTGTCAGTTTGGTATCGAAATCAAGAAACCTGAAATTTTATTCAGTTTTACATTCTTAGATAATATACGGCCAGTGTGTCGTTTGATAACATGCACAAAGTTCTGGCTCAACCCGCTTTGGGCCAGCCATGTCTTCCCGCCATCCAAAGGAAAATTGGTGCCAGATCTGCTTGCGCATCCTCTACAATTAATACTAACTGTGTGCACTGATCTCTGGTAACGCTCTGTCTCAGGATATGAGGGAAAAGTCATTCGACTGGAATTCAATACATTCATAGAGATGATTTAATTTTTCAGCAAGAAACGGAGTTTTTATGCAAACCCGAATCTGTCGAATGTAAGAACTAATGGAGTATAAGACGCTGGGAACCCCGAAAAGTACCCTAAATTGAAAGCAAGTCGTTTTTGTTAGTTTAACTCAGAACGAATCATTTATTTCTTATGAGTTCTGCTGCTTCTTGAATCCGAAAATTCTTTAGCTTGTTGGTTCGTTGCTAGAGCGTTTCACTGAAGATTGGAGAGAATGAGCTTGTTCGAAGCATGGTACCAATTTTCTAACCATCGAGGGATGGAGGGTATGGTGAGCGCGGTGCTGTGTTGAACCAATGCCATTTCCGTATTGAACGAGATCACTACCACTCCTCGAACTGCTCGTGAATAAATCATGATAAAGCAAAATTGTGAGCAAAGAACATGGAGCGGAAACCCCTCTGAGAAAGAGTGATGGAGATGTCACAAACAAGGATATACATCTTTTTTGAAGTGAGGCGTCGGAGTATGAATTAACGCAAAATCTATATTTTCACCAAGCAAATTTCATTCACTAAGATAATCTTTCAAAATGTTTTTTTATTTTTGCTTGGAACTGTGGTTCTTTTGAAAATCTCAAATCAGCCATCAATTTCTTGGATGCTTAAGTTGTAAGCATATTTCAAGTTGATAAGGCACCTTTTGAGAACTCAAATATGCGATTAAGCCATGGAACACTTGTTCTTCTAAGAAACTATGGAATCTTGAATTTCTTAGATGCTTTAATGATCGATAGATTATGATCAAGCATTAAGAACCTACTACACGAAGGAGTTGAGCATTGCAGATTGAAGGCATTTTTACCTATATACCTATGGATTTGATAAGTCAGTTTTCTTCATCCTTCCACACTGTTTTGCTATGTTTGCTGACGCAGGAAGATGGAGAGCTTGGCAACTCTTGGATACGTATTCGAAGCAACACCCAAGCACGCTTCTAAGTATACCTCTAACCGTTGCGCTTTATGTACCTCGTTATTCGGCTGCTCATAATCCTAGTGGGCTTACGTATCTTCCAAAGTGAGTAAATTAAATGAATGTGGAGTTTAAGCTTTTTTGAATACCTGCTATTCATATGCACAAATTCAACACCAAGTGTCTCCATTTGGTTCATTGGGAGCGACTGGGCATATCCTCTACATGCACATTGAAAGATCCTGATTAGATATAGGATTTCCTGTTATCATAAAAGTTTAGTGCGGGTAATTTTATTACCATTCAGATAAAATAAGACATTACGTATAAGAAGCTGGCTAGGATATAACACTCGGTTTGACTTGAAGACTTAAGATAAGAATTACTTCCTTATTGAAGCTTTTGCTCTGACTTGACAATTCGGGAATATTCCTTTCAATATCTCTGTCGCTGCTTTAAGGGCTAAAATAATCATAGAGAGCTTTTTGATTATAGATTGAGAAACTTTCCCGAAACGGTTTCTCAGAGATAGGTGACAGTCCGTGCGATAATCCAAATGAGTTATCACCTACCCTAAATTAGGTATTACGTTTCCACATGCTATGCTTATCTCAGTTCTTGTTCCATAACCTCAAACTCTCTACTGAACAACCATTACATGCACCAAAAGTAATAGCTGTTCAGTAGAGAGTTTCTGGTTAATATTTAGCAAAGAATTTACTAACTCGA